CTCTCCTTTCCTGACTTTTAAATGCTATAGTTCCTCAAGAATGGGTCTTCAGTGTTCTGTTCCTCTAACGTTTTATTTTCTCTGGTCCCTTCTATAGATTCAGTTTCCATTCACACTCTAAATGCTTGTTATTCTGTAATTCTCTTTACACCTCAATGTCTAGCCAATTTCATCTCTTTCTTATCTATCTGGCATCATCTAATTATTTCAAATTCATATCAATTGTAGTCAAAATGTCACTTTTTAATAGAGGTTTTGTCATAATGATAGACTGGGCCACAAGCTTCATGAAAGCAAGGGACATGTCTGCTTTATTCACTACTTTACATGCAGAATTTCATAGGCATAGAATAGGTATCTACTGAATAAATTAATGTGTATGAAAAAAATGAATGAACATGGGTGAGGCTGGTGTATGGGAGTTCTGAGCCACTGGGGGGAGTCCAAGTCTATAGCAATATCAAGTGGTATTGTGGGTTAGAAATTATGATGTGGATTTGGATATGAGGAGTTGATCATGGAGAACAATATGAGGCCTCATCAACTTAGATCATGACTAAATGCATACACAATATACATTCATACAGCTATCAGAACTTCTCAATGGAAGTGCCTAGATGTGGATACCTTTGGTTTCAAGATAAGACAGTAGGATAGAACACACAGCGGATGACCCAACTGGCCCAAAATACAATAATTTTTCTATGGATGCATGAAAAAATATTTTGCACAGCTGGATAGACCATATCTGAAAGTGGCTTTTGCTCTTGGCTCTTTTTTTCCTTCTGGAAAAGTTATTGAGAACTTATACTTAAAAGAAGAATAAACTGAATCAATAAGGTTTCAACTTGAGTCAGTCCAGAGAAGTTGGTTTCCATTCATTGTGTTATCAGGTAGCCATTAGCAATGTGATGATGTCAAATGGAAGAAAACAAATTATAAAAGTGTAAATGTACTGTGAGTGTAATTGTAAAACACACAGTTAAGAGCAGTTATGTCAGGTTGGTGTGGTTGGATTTGTTTTTTCTTTCTCTATCTTGCCATATTATTTCTATTAACAGTGAAAGCACAAAATATTTAAATAAAGTAAATGTCATTTTGAATGAAAACAGCATTTAAGTAGTTTTTGTCTTCTGTATGATCTTAATCTGAGAATATAATAGTGGCATATGTGAATCATATTATGAGTGCAACTTTTATATTAAAGATTTTTATGATACATTAAGTTGAATATATATATGGATTATTATGCGTATTAGGGTTTTTGTTTGAAAAAAGTGTTTTCCCCACTATCGCTGAATGTAACATTCTGTCCTACACTGATGATGGTCTAAATTTGCAATATTTCATTTAATTAATTGGCTATTCTATATAAAAATGCTTAAAATAATGAAAGAAAACATTATTTTTCTATTTCTGGACAGCCATGATTAAACAAAACAAGCTTCAAATATGGCTGGAGGTAAGACTCTATAATCTAAATGATATGACAATAATTCTCATAACTCATAACTCTGGAGGGAAAATAATCATTAAGTTATATGTCAATCTCACTGACAAAGTAATATATCCCTTAGTATCAGAAAGTTTGTTTCATATTTTGCATGCACATTATACAGTACAATGCATGACTCATGCTGGGTAAATTCACAAATGCTTATTAAATTAATGAATATGTTTAAAGGAGAACAACATTAACTTGCCATCACAGACACTACTTCTGTTCTAACTAAGGTCCAATGACCCTTAGTTTTTGATATGATATTGTCCCCTCCAATGTTTTGTTATTATAACTTATATTTTAAAAGGAAAAACTTTTAGTGGATGATTATCAGCAATTAATAGAAGATCAAACTTGCCATACAGATAAAATTTCTACCAAGAATAATTGTGTATGCACTGAGGCCACACATCCTACAGTAGAAGAATTTGAAAAGCATTTCAGTGGAGTGTGTCTTTCAAGTCAATCTTCTTGAACTATCTGCTACTTGATATGGATTTTCTGAGGATAGTATGTTCATGTTCATTGGGGGAACCAGTCTGTCATTGAGAATGTTATATTAATATGTAGTGAGTTTCTCACATTTGAGTTATAAATCTCTTGATGGAAAGTTATTACAGTTAGTCCTTTTCTTGCCCAAATAGGAATAGACATGGAAAAATAATGGTTTCTCATGTGTAAGTAGCAATTATTTTAGTGGGTCTTGAGAAACATTTATCTTAGATTTTATGGCTTTTGCAAAACGAGGGGGGCCTTTCAAAAGTAGCATTTACACAGTGGAGCTAAATTATCACCTCAGTTGTACACGGTGTAGATTTTGTGGCTTATATAGAACTGTACAGACTTTAATAGAATTATCTGGGGAATTTAAAGCAATTAGAGAATACTTCTAGTTTTTACTGCTTAAGCAAACCTTAAAAGTCCCTTGAATACAAAGTGATGGTATAGTGTAGTTAAGGGGAAGAAAATTAAGAGACAACAAATAGATGTTTAAGCTTCCTAGGGCAAATGAAGCATTCACTGAGGAAATTTATAATTGACCTCCTCTGAGTGCAAGGACATCTGACTAAAAGATGATTTCCCTTTAGAGATCTTTTGATGTTGTTTACTAGCACTATATAAAATGGGAGCAATGTAATAGTAACTCATCCAACATCTGTCTGTTATGTGACTATTTTAAAGTATAAAGTTTATAATATTCTCTCTGGAGTTTGGATCAAGGTTTTATATTTTTCATCAAGTTATTTATGCTTTCTAAATAATAATTAAAATTAAGGAATTTTATCTGTGCATTTACTTGGTTTTAATAAGAATCAAACAAAATCTACTCTGGATGAAATTTGCTAAGACAGTATATCTTCTGCGATGAGCATATCAAGCATCAGGCAATCTGAACAGTACTTAGTTCATCAGCGGTTGATTCAATTAGTAGTTGATCTTAGTCAGAGGTCTCTTTAATCAAGTCTGATCTGGTCCATGGATAATCTAATTGGTGACTAATCTAAGCAGTGATTGATCCCATCTGGTGGCCAAACCAATCCACGGTTAACCAAATCAATGATTCCTATCAAGACTGTGGTTATTGAACAGATCAGTGGCTAATTAAATCAGCATTTGATCAAATCAAATCACCACACACACTGGAGAAACTTATGTAAAGGGATAGATGTACTATTAGATTGATTAATATGTTGAGTTCTTAATACATCTATCAGATCATGTTCTATACCTTAAATCTGTGTGGTTTTTACATGATGTCCAAATTCTACTCTACTAAATCTGTTGGTGAAACAAAAATATTGGGAAGTATCTTGATGTGGATAGATACTTCTACCGTTCTTTGTTCCTCAGTCATAACTGAATTCTCTTTTAGCCAAATGTTATATTTTTATAAAAATCTCTCTATGGGTATTTTCTAGGCTAAGTGTAATTTGATGGTATAGTATCTGAACATGAGAACTGTACTTATGTAGAGGTAAAAACTTCTTATCATGTAAGATTATTTTCCATACTATATATGAAATAATATCTGTTATCTCAGTCATATATCAAATTAAAGGAAGTTTCCAAAGATTATTTCAACAAGACCGTCTGCTTTTATAGTTCATTATAATCAAAAGTTTTATGTGCTGTTATCAGTGAATCTCAACAATACCACTTTAAAGATGTGGTAACTGAGGTCAAAAGAGAGGTGTTGGGAGTCATGGCCAAGAGCAATAAGCAGGAAGAAAGGCTTTGGGGCTTTGAACAGGTTCATACTCTAGAGTAACCAATTATGACCATGTCTTCCTTCCACTCGTCTGAATCTGGACTCAGTATATTCATTTCCATTGCCATAAGTTACAGTTTATGTAAAAGAATCCATGAATGCTTAGACTCCATAAACTATCACACTGCTATTTCTGCAAAGCCAATGCACACTGAGAAGAGTATTGTTTATAATCACGTTTCCATAGAGATAGTTTTAAGCTTGAGATTGGTATCACTTTTGGTTGAGTAGTAAAACAAAACTGTCATTAGTGAGTCTATCCAAAGCTGAGTAGGAAAATAGATATACAACAAAGCATCAAGGCTATACCCTCTAAAAGGACTCTGGCATTTTATTGTAAGTCTAAGAATAGTTACTTACATAGATTGGGATGAATTTTTAAGGTAGCCACCAGTTATTGATCTACACACATATATTCAAGCGGTTAACATGGCCTATAGTTCTTAATAGTTTAACCCTAGGCCAAATGATGTCCTTGTAAATTCATAAAACAAAATAAATTGTTTTCGTTCCTTTGAGCATTAGGTTACTACAAAATTAAAAGAAATTATGGCACTGCACCACGTACTTAACATTTAATTTTTATCAGTCTAATCTTTCTTCTGTCCTATATGATAGGAAATACTAATTTGTAGTGGGTGGAAGAGGGGATGATTACAGAGACTATCGGTTTTGCTAAGTAACCTACATTTTTTGAGAAAAAAATGAGCCTTGAATTTTTCCAATCTTTGCCAAACATTAAAGTTTTTTATTATACCAAATTACCCTTGTACAAAGAAATGCACTTTTATACAAAATTATTTTATTCACCATCTAATATCCTCATATGAGTGATAGCAAAGTTGAGGGCAAAGTCGTGGAGTTTTGCACCAGTACATGTTTAAGTCTTCTAATTTTTCATGCAATTCTACAAAATATTGAGCACAACTACATGCTCAGAAAGTCAATGTTTAGTCAGTCAGTTAACATGTTTATATTCAACCGTTTATATTGGATTTTAAACTATCACTTACCTTCTTGAGCTGATCTTTACAAATTAAGGTTTCATGCTCAAAGAGACATGCTAAATAAGGATATTGTGCAACATTTATACTGTTTACTTATTTCTTCTTTCTAGTATCAGATTCTTACTGTCACAGTTTGGGGGTTTGTTACCTCTGTTGAAGTTTGATCTTACTCTATTAAGATCATTTTCATTAAATGAAGTCCCCCGAAATGAATCTTACTTACTTTGCTTTAGCTTCTGCGTCCTCATATGCTTTATTAGAAACATCATCCAGTCCTCCAATCAAATGCTTGAAAGAACTGTCAAAGGAAAACCAGAATAATTAAGCTAAATCCTCTGCAAAGTCCTCACAATGGCAATCAGACAATAACAATCTAGAGCCATCTAAATAAAAGTGAATTCAAGCACTTAATTTAGATATATTTCTAAGAAACATATCAGACAGTAGTGCTTCCCCTGATTAGGCAGTAAACCTTACGTCATCTGGGGCCTCTTCTACCTGGTTCATCTCCCAAATCCTAACCACATCTGACAACCACATCTGCTGAAAACAGACATTTGAACATTTGCTACGTGAAATAAAATCTAAACTACTCTAATTGTGAGTCACTGCACTATAAAACTAATACATCAACAAAATATTCTAATTGGGGAATGTCTACTCTATGTCAGTTAAATAGTATTAATTTCTATTAACCTCCATTCAAACTGTAAAAGACAAACACCATCATCTCCTCTTAGAAAGCAACTATCTGTCAAAGGCAAAGAAAGGTTAACAACAAGAATTATCAGAAAATCAACTCATTTAAGAAACTGGAAATAAATTTGCTTTAGCATGAGGTAGGAAAGTTGGCTATTTAATTATCTATTCAATACCTACTATGTACCTAGAACTGTGTTCATATTTACTATATATAATGAACTCTCATCTATCATATGCTTAAGATACAAAATATTATAAAGACAAAGAGTATAACAAATTACTATACATACCACAATCATCTTTGAAAATTACTGAATACAAATAAAAATAGTTTTCTCACATGACATTTTTACAACTACAAATCCAGAAATCAATCAGATGAATAAAAAGAAAGCCTAGGGAAGTCTGTTTGGAACACTTAGTCCCCAGCTGATGGTTTTGATAACTTTAAGAGGTGGTACCTCGGATGGAAGAAAGTTCACTGGGGGCAGGTCCTGTGCAATAACTTGTCTTTGGTGCCTTCCTGATTTCTTACTTCACCTGCTATATTTTGCTTGAGTGCATGGGACCAGGTAACCATTGACCCAGCCCTCTAGAACACTGAGAAACAGATCTTCCCCTGAAGGCACCATTGCCACAAGTTCACATGTGCAAGCTTCCAGTGGTCTGAAAGCCTCTTCTTCTCTACCAGTCCTGGCTCTTGCAACTTTTCTATCCCCTGTTCCACAACAGTTCCTGAACTATATGTAGATGAGGTTTAATACAGAAGTCCTGTCCAGGGACACACACTTTTCAGTCTCCTATTCTTTAAAACTTGATCAGCTGTGGCTTTCTGTGTACATTGCACTCTGTTGTATATGGAAGCTTCACTGGTGACAGTTGAAGGATATGCTAGTTTTCTTTCCACCCCTCATTCTGCTGTTCCATGAGCCTTAGGTGTAAAGGTTCAACTGTAGATGTGTCACCTAGAACTGGGCAGCTCTCAGACATATGTTCTCTGTCTCTGACCATTTGTGGAATTCTGCAGTGGCCTTCATCTGTTTCAAAAAGAAGATTTTTGATGAGTAGTGTAAGGTATGTTTCTCTATAAATTGTAAGATCCAGGATAGGTTCATGAACATAGAGGCTATAAGGATCCATATTATCATATGGTAAGAAATTTCACTGTCTGAAGTTATGACAGAGATGTGGTTTCTCTAGGAAATGTGTCCTCTCTAGCCATGAGTATCTGGGCTCTGTTTACAGTGCCACCCATGAGTTCACTCCCATTGAGAGGGTTTTAAGTCCAGTTAGGTAGTTATTGATAACCCATTAGATGACAGTGCCACTACTGCACCACTAGAAGTAGTCTGCTAAGCTGGTCATTATGGTTATTAGGCTTTGGGGCTGGGATGGACCATTGGTTGACTCCCTTTGCAGTTTCCATATTATTGTCTAGTATCATGAAGGCTAAACCTTGGGTAGAAAGCTTCCAGGTCAGTTCCTGCTCCATTGCTCCAAGTCCTGTATCTGAAGTGTGTCCTGTCCTCAGCAGTAGGGTCTTATCTTCTAGTTCTATGAGATAACCAAGAGCTCTGGTAATAGTCTGTGTTATTTTGGGAGTCTCTTGGACTACTCTCACCAACCACTTAAAGGGAGGTCTCTCCTGCCTGGCACTGTGCTCCCTGCAACACAGCCCCCAGGTATACATATGCACCAATGTTCAGACACTGTATGTGCATGCCTCAAGGGGGTCTCAGGGGCATCACATTTCCTCTGGGTTCCCTAGACACCCCCAAGATTCACCTCTACTCTTTCTTCCTCCCATCCAACCTCCCTCCCCAGTCCCAGCTCCCCCATTACCCCCAAACTGCACCCAATAACATGACTTGCCTAATAAGTAAGAGTTCTGTTTCCTTATGGTCACGTACCTACTCCCCTGGCTCTTACAATTTTTCTACCCCCTCTTCCACAGTGGTCCATGAGCTCTAGGTGGGTGAGATTTAATATAGGAGTCCTGTTGCTCATATGGACTTACAGCAATGGTGACCGCATGCACAAGACACATGCAAACTCAATCACAAAAATCAGCATAGAACTGCAGATATGGGCAGGGGGCTGCAACTTTGGCAAGGAACTACTGGCAGCTGATCACTGCTGGGTGAGGGAGAGTTGATCTTTAAGGGAGTGACATGAGACAGGCTGAACGGGCTCCAATGGATGAACTCACACCAAGAGACATCTGGGCACACAAACTTGACTCGGTGAATCTTAACACATAAGTCAAAATGCATGAAGTTCTGTGTGTAGGCTATAGGGCTGGTGCAGATAGGAGGGGGACTAAACATGATTAAGATGCTTTGTATCAAATCCACAAAAATTTAATAAAATATATTTTAAAAAGAAGAGTTCTGTTGTCATTGTTCTGTTTTTAAAGAGATCATAGGATGTTTTGACAACCTAAGCACTTGAACAAGTAAAACCCATAAAATGTCAGTTATCTAAGCTGGTAGTTACAGATAAATCATTAAATTAATTCTTTAAGCTCATAGTCAAAATAATTTACATTTAGTATTATGAAAATAAACTATCCGATTTCACATATACTCTAGACTTAATTTCAGAAGAATTTAAAAGACTTTAATTCAGGCTTTCTGATCAGCACACCTTCATGTAGGCATGCTATTGCATGTAGGCTTTCACATCAACTTTCCCTGAGAAGGGAATCTAGTATTAACAAGTCCAAACAGGATTGCTTAGACAAGTGAGTAAAATGGCATCATTTGAGCACATATAGGCAGAAGAAGCACAAATGGGAAGTTCCTATGTGTTCAACACTGGCAGCTGGAACATACCTGCAAAGTGCAATGGGAAAAGAAGGTCAAAGAGGAACAAAGACAGAGCAAAGAAGAAAAGGAGGCGGAAGATGAGGACAGAAAGGAAGGAAGGCAAAGAAGAGAGGAAGAGAATAGGACTCTTACGAACAAGACTGTGGACATTTATAGACATTTTCATTAGGAAGTATCAGTTGAAAGGCCGTTTCTCATTCTAGGAAGTCTGTGTTTTAGGACATTTTGGTGACTAACTCAGTGGGTAATAATTTCAGTTAAGATGTTATTAATCAAAACCTCTTTCTGAAGGGAGATGATTACTTAGTGGTGCATCTAAAATGTCTGTAATTTTGCTCCTTAGTTGTAATATGATGACACTTCCTAGAGAAATGAGTTTTAAAATTCCTAAAAAGGCAAAAGTCCAAATTAGTAGAAAGACCAGAAATCCAGGATCAGCACAAAGAAAAGCATTTAAATATATTTCTTATCTTAGAAAGCACATTTTAGGGGCTAGAGAGGCCCAGATTTGATTCCCAACACCCACATGGTGGCTAACAACTGTCCATAATTCCAGTTCCAGGAGAATCCAATGCCTTCTTCTGACCTCCTTGGGCACTGCATGACATGGGTGCACTTACACACATGCAGGCAATACACTCATATGCACAAAATAAAAATAATAAATAATAAATTTAAAAAGTTTCAAAAAATGAAAGATTTTATATTTCTAGATCATATATACTAAAAAATATAAAGACATACATATATGCTGACTAAGTCTTCATGCTTCTCTAGCTCCTATTTTGACACAGTGTTTAGAAATCATGCACAACTAATTGGACTTGGTGTGGTAAAATAATAATAATAAACAGAATTTAAATAGAATCTTTCAAATCCAAAATACAGTGAGAATACGCATCACTTATTTAAAGCAGATTCATTTTCTTAATTATATTTTAATGTATTTTAATCTATTCTTAACAATTAAATATTCTAAGACAAAGAGAATCAACAGAAAACCTTTTTTAAATTTTTATTCAATTTTATCTTTTGTGTATGAGTGTTTAGCTTGCATGTAATTGGACCTGTGTCATGAAATGCCCACAGAGGTCAGAAGGGGTCATTGGATCCACTGGAACCAGAGTTACAGTTGTTAGTCGCAATGTGGATGCAGGGTATTTGCAAGAGCAGTGTTCTTAATCACTAAAGACTAAATGTTGATGTGCAAAGAGTTCTTCTGATGTGCATTTATTGCAGTGAGAATGGGAAATTGCTATTTTCCTCACAGTTTTTATAATTTCCAAACATATATAATAGCTGTTCTCTTTTTTATTGCTTTCACAAATTTACCCTTTCACTGATAATGACTAACTTTTGTAATTATCTTTTTATGTAGTGTGATGGTTTTTGTAATATTTTTATTGGACTAGAATTTATTTATATTGAACTAACAGCTTTAAAAGGTGGGCATAGTGCCAGTGAGATGGCTCAGTGGTTAAGATCAATTGCTCCCAATCCTGAATTGATCCCCAGAACTCACATGGTGGAAGGAGAGAAACAGTTCCTGTAAGTTTTACTCTGACTTTGACACACATCCTGTGACATGCTTATGTCTACAAGCATGGGTACATTATTATAAATGTAATAATTTCTAAAGTATATAAATAATATAGTGCACAGAAGCAAAACAGGTAATAACCAATGACTATTCCAAACCTGACACCCCTATATTCGGTTTATATCAAGAAACCTGTACTAAAAAAATGAATCTAAGGGGCTGAAGAGA